CAAGTTCTCGTTTAGAATCTGATGGGAAATACATTTGTATTTTGTTCGTTGAAGCCACGATTGCAGCGACGGGATAGCACGGAGTTCTAGCAACAGTGCCTCAAATTACTCTCTGTGTCTTCGTGGCCACGTATTACCACCTGGGTTGACAGGTAGAGCAGAGACGACAATATTGCTAAGAGGGCCTGCCTCGCGTCATCCATTTCTTTCGCCTTTCCCTTGACACAAGCAGAGACGACATTTACGCCGCCTTTTGCAGCTACGACGGCCCGGCATGCCTCTTTACAGAAGTTCGAGCTCTCATGACTCTTAAACCGGAGCTGAGTTTTTTACAGTTGGAGAAGCCGTTTTTAACAAAAGCTAGGTGAGAATCCTTGTCGCGAGAAGTGTTCCCAAGTAGCACACCACGTCGGGTTGGGGATGGGGCGGTATTGGCTTGCCGGGATACTAATACCGGCCAGTACCGGAAACGCCCCAAGGGGCGACATTGGCCGGGCCCGAATACCGGAATCCGGCCGGTACCGGGAACTTATTGGGAAACCGGGATGTCGGGAATACGGGATGTTCCCAGTGAGCTCCCGACACAGATCCCCAGCATGGAACCGGCGGTACGGTAGAAAACCACCAGTGTGCCAGCGTATTTCCAGGTCAGAGCCAGTCCAATTGCAGATTAGTCCCAGCGTAACAGACCAGTGCCAGCGCAATTGCGGATCAGCGCCAGCGTATTTGTCATTCAGTGTACTCGGCATAGAACCACTAGAATGCTAGCTGTGTCAGGCTTTTAAAGCCCAGGTATGACATCCTACTGCATTAAAATTTTGCAGAGCTAGCTTCTCACTAGATCAAATCCACTTAAATGTGGAAATGCTGAATTTCTCAGTCCGAACTATTTTATTGATTTTCATATCTTTTATAGGTGCCGACCGTTTTTAATATGTTTTTCGGACTTCGACCGAAACAAGCCAGTTTAGTATTTGTGCAATTTTAAGAAACAATACTGTGTGAACAATTAACTTTCTCCATGTACAGAGTATACTCATGGCAATTATTGTATACTTGTTGAGACGACATGTCCCATTCATCTGTCACCCAGATGCATATTGTGGGTAGTACAAGAAGGGAACATAAAATATTTTTTTTTACCGTGACATTCTTTATTTTGACTTGTGCATCCATAGCAGCTAGCTCCTCAGCCAGTGTCTCTCATCGTTGAAGGTGGTTGGAACCACCATTGAAGTGTCCGTCTTCTTAACTGTATTGCCCCTGCCCGCCTCCCTGCCTGTCAGCCGCTCCTCCATCGCGTCCACGCTGCACCCTTGAGCACGACTTTGTATGGCACCTGTAAAGAGAATTGTCAGATAACACAATTAGTTGAGAAATAGGGGAAGCCAATATCTCGCATACTAGCTAAGGTGCTGTTCACACACTGCAGTTTGTGAGCGTTTCCTTTGTGTAAACATAGGTCGCTCACCTAGCCTGCAATTCAAAGGTGACAGAAAGAGAGAACCACAGAGGCGGAGATTCTGGGTTTGGCTATTATGCTAAGGAGCAGATTCTATGGAGGCATATGGCTATTTCAGGCAACATCCTAATAATCTGAAATGGGGGGCGAGACGGGCGGGGGGCGAGAGGGGGCAGGGCGCAGAGATGGGTGGCTAAAAAGAGAGAAAAACTTCCCAAACTGACACTCTACAGACCAAGGCCTCTAAATGGTCTTCATTAGACTTTCAACCTGGAAACTAACAGGATAACAAGACAAGACCAACCAAATCTTTTTTCACAGCTACTTCAAAACGCTGCTTTTGGGTATGAAGGTTCTAAGAATGCTAACGCAAGAGTTATTCATAATAAAAAATGCAAGTCAAATTAAAAAAAAAAAAAAAGACAGGAACTGACAACTTAAATTTTGCATGCTGCAAGACTTTAAGGGAAACTGAAGCTGTTCTGTATTTGAGGAACAACACCAAAATAGTCTTCATTTGGCCTCCAGGATTATGAATATCAAAATTATTTTTTCATCTGGTGCACGGAGGCTGCAGGAACTAATTTCTAAAGTACAGCTGAAGCCCCTCCTTCCCGGGGCGTGACGTCATACTGGGAGTTTTCGGAATTTCTGCTCTCACTCATGTTCAGCTCCTGTCAAACCTATGAACGTGAACTCTTGCTATTTTTATAAAGGTCAGAAATAGATGTCACGACCGGCGTCAGTGTGGAAAAATACAACTGGCAAGCTTGCAATTACACGCGCTGCCCACACGAGCAACACATACTTGGCGGCCCAAAGATCCTAGTACAACGTCACGACTGGTCTGAGGTTTTTCGTGTTTTCTCGTTTCTAGTTACACCTTCGGGGAAAACGAAAGCGATATTTCAATTCACAGGACAAAAATACGCCAGAAAACACCTCAACTCTTTTTTTTTTTTCAAGAAGTGTTTCAGCTTCCCTTTAATTGTCAACATGTTTCAAAGATTTTGCTTGTCTATTGAGCTCCAATAGAGATACCATCAATTTAATAGCTAATAATGAATATGCATTACCGATGACCACCTTGCACATCATGGCGTCCTTGAACCTTGACTTTCCTTGGTAGCCCAGAAGGGAGAACTGCTCCTGGACTTGCTTTGAGAACAGGCGTCCCACCATCTCTTGCACCATCTTCTGCAGGTTCTTGCTGTCTCCTAGAGACACGAGCTGCTCCTCCTAGAAAGACAAAAGGTGTTCTCAATATGTCAATAAAGTTATTCACATGTAGATACAATGGTATGAACATGTCTCAAGTAAGAGAATGTGAATGCCCAGATAAATGCAGCAAGCTACACTATACACGCATCAAAATCTTACAATATTTACTGGAGAGAGAGTAAAAAATATTTGAATATATGGCAACTCTACCTGTCTTAGAGAAAACCAGAAAGATTAAAATATTTTCCTTCATACTCCGCTAAATCTCATTAGTCAGTCACATTCGTTGCATCGTCCAAATTGTGTGAACGTTTTGATGGATCATCTTTGCTCATCAGCATCCACTCAGTAATTTTAATAATGTATGTGGTTCTCAAAACAGTGCATTCAAGACCCTGCGCATTTTGAATTTGTTAAAGCTTAGTCTGCCGAGTAGTCACCCTGAAAATTTATTGCCTATTTTACGACTTTACGAAGATTGGAATTGAAAAAGGCATAAGAAGCAGGAATTGACAAAAACCGTCTTCATAGTCGCACAAAATGCCAACAGCAGCACAGTGTGAGTAGTTTTCTTTCCATATTTTTGTTTAGTGCTCACTCAGTGGTGGCCCCGTAGGCCAATGAACCAACTTACTCAGCTCAAGCCCGCCACATGTAATAATCGCTTGTGTGACTAATGTATGCTATGCCTGAAGACACAGCTACGCATGCACTCACACCCCCTGAATGAAGAGGCGGATGTAATGACAGTTAGTCTTTCACCTTAGAAAATTTATTTGCCCTCATAGGGTGACCTTCGGTTAGGACAGATTAACATCTCACTTTGGAAATATACTACTTATGTAAAGTAAAGACAAACTTTTACAAATGTGTTTGGTCATACGCATATGGTGGGCACGCTCAAAAGCGATTTTGGACCAGGCTAAAAGTTATTTTCAAGCATGTACACTCTCCGGCAATATGAAAGACCCACTGGGAGAGCGTGGCCGGGGCGGTGGCTGGTGGGGGCGTTGCGAGCGCCCCGGGCAGTACCATTCTGCTTCAAGGGGAGGACACTCACTTGAGGATCAGCTGAAGCGCAACGAGCTTATCAGTTTGTGCTGAGCCCCGAGTGAGCGTCCTCCCCTCGAAGCAGAATGGAATTGCCCGGAACGCTCGCAGTGCCCCCGCCAGCCACCGCCCCGGCGACGCGCTCCCAGTGGGTCTTTCATATTGCCGGAGACTGTACCTTTACTTCTGTAGCAGATGCCAAAAGCACAAATGAATTTATCGCCTTAAATATATAGATCTCTTGACTATAGCCTCAAGTGAGAACAGGAATAAAACCATAAGAAGCCCAATATATACTACAGCATCTCGATCCAAGCTTCTGCCAAGCGAGCGTTAAACACAAAAAGCATGCAGGCGGTTATGTGCGTGCTTCGCACACGTACTCACGACGAGAGTTGTTGCAGGTGCGAAATTTAACTTCTAAGGATAAAACGGGCAGAGGTGTCGTGGGAAATCAGCATGATTTATGATTATTTGCAGGCCAACGTACTGTAAGCACCCAGAGGCCAATGTGTTGGGTGATTTCACTTCCCGTTGTGAAATGGTTTACTCGAAAAAATTTCAAGAAAAATGCCGTTCAATGAGGATGCACATGAAGGCCTCTTGCCTACACGACCTTCGGGTGGGAAAAAACTGTTCAAAAATGTAACGACGCACAAACACTTAATTTTTGGTGGCCACCGTCCAGCATTTCTCCCTTCAATAGCCTCAATGAATCGCAGTTTAACAATTGCAGAAACTATACGCAGGCTACTAAAGCTGACTTGCAAAACGTGCAACTGGCGTTGCACCACCTTGACACAATTCTATCGCAGGGTTCAGTTTAAGGATGTCCTCTACAATAAATAGCCTTCCATCGTGCATTGGCTGTGCGTGCACTCTGCTGTTATAAATAACAGAAGGCCCGTAATGAAGGTGGGGCATCTTACTCATTTTTAATTTGCCACCGACTGTGCTTAAAACAGTTTGGGTGGGCGTACATTTGAAATATTACAGTAAGTGGCTTCAGTCCACATTTCAACCCCATTTGCATAAATATTCAGATAACCCAAGTTAAACCACAAAGTAATAATCGCAGCCTTATACCTGTCATTATTGTGAAAAAGAGGACACATAAATACCGGCAGTGTCCTGTTGGTGAAGTTCTTCAGCTGCGCTTCTGCAGCACAAAACTGTTCCATGTTGCTGAGAGGCATCAGGAACAGCTCGGGTGGTTCAGGCCTGGCCAGTTCCTGGGGTGTCGCCTGTTCCCCGGGCCTCACCTGCTCTCCCTGGTGCTTGAAAGACACCACGTGCCTGAGCACCTGCCCAACAGACTTGCAGTTGTTCTGCTGCTGTAGGTGCCCATTCTAGATGTGCAGGTCGATCACAACCTTCGCAGCTGAGCGTCGAAGGCTGCAAGATAAGCAAGGCATAAGAAAGCATTACCCATTTTGCTGATCGACATTATGCACTGATAACGGGAAGAAACTTTTCAGAAACATGGGTTTCGGGAAGTTTCAGAAGGACGCTCAAACCTTAAGGTGTTTCGCATGGGTTTGGGTACCTTTGGAATGGCAGCCAGACACAGTAAGAGTGATTCAAATTTTTGTAGAAATTTAAGAGACGTTATAATTTTTACGCAATATTCATAAATTTAATAAAAAAACATTTGTGTTAATCAAATAACCTTTCTGAAGGGGAGAAACGGCCCCAATTTTCGGAACTTCACAGTTTTGGCTTATATGGTCAATAATGAATGCTCCCACAAAGTTTTATAATGTTTTTTGACAATCAAAGCAAATAAAAAGCAATATTAATTTGTCGGCGACGCACATGAGACGCGCTGCGCTTGGCTGCGATAAGCACAAGTTTAAAAATCCGATATATAGGTCCGTGGCTATGAGGCCTAGCCCGGTGCCTGTACCCTCGTTAGAACTGCCATTTCCTGGGCTTTCAGGACGGCCTTTTTTTAAACTATCAACCGTCTAAAAATCTGAGAGAATCCCGTAAAGAACACTTGCCCTGGGATAAAAAACGAAACTAGCGCTGCAAGCGGCTGCTCTGTGGTCACATAATACCTCGAGCCTAGGCATATGACGCTTTAGAATGAATTGGCACTTCCAAGTGAAGCACGGGTCGTCAATTGCGTCCCTCGTTAAATAGCAGAAGTTCCCAATGTAAGTTTGTTTTCTATCGCTTCACTCACAGCATATAGTGCGTAACAGATGATCCACCTTTCTTCGGTTCTGGTAGCAGACGACGCGACGGCGTCTTGTTTCCCGCAGCAAACGACTCTGGGACAGACAAACCCTCCCCCTTTACTTGCGTTAGCAGGCGATGTGACTGTTAAAGAAATGTCAGCTCCTCCAGTACAAACCTGCCGAGATCTCAGTCTCACCAACCACCAAAATCTGGCCATTGGTACAATATTTCAAGGTACTAACACAAGCTGCACAGCACGGCGCCGAAGCGAACTTGCTGCACATAAAAACAAGCCTCTAAGCCGTCCGTCGAACCTCTCCAGAGTAGGACAGCACCACGGCTGTTCTTGGCAGCATGCAATGCTTTCCCACAGCATTACGAGAAAGCTTTGTGACCAGTAGCGTATTGAAGGACTCAGTCACTACTGTAAATGTGCATGTGTCGCTATGAAGATTATGGAGCTAGCTAAATTGAGCAACTGCACGCAAGCTAATGTGGTCAAGCATGCGAACAGAGGGCAGCTCAAAAACATGTGCTAGCACATCATCAGGAGTTTAGATGAAAAGGAAGAGTACAAAATAATACTTACTGCATTTTTGCAAACTTGATGCTCTAAACGAAGGTCAGTCAGGGTCTGGTGCACGGGACAAGATGTCAGCCCCAGATATTTTGCTTGGCCACACGCCGTTGTTTCATACTCACGACGAACCACAACAGAGGAACGGACGCCACAGTTATTTCGTCATTCTCTTCGATGAATTGTACTCCTCCTCACTAGAATGAAAGGCGTGGTAAGACATGATGTTCATTCAAGTTACTTCACACTGTCAAGTCTTCGCAAGCTTTAGCATATATTATAACTCCATGGCTATATCCGCATGCACGGCCACAATGAAACACAACGACGTCGCATTCCGGAATACGCCAAGTGATAGAAGTAGTGGTAAAAAAGAAACAAACGGTGCTCATTGCACGTAAAGGTCTGTTTACATCATGCTTTGTAGCTTTTTACTTGCAACGGTTTCGTGATACCAAGGTTTCGCACGAGTAGCTTATTTACGTCCAGTTTTTCAAGCAACCGCAATGGCGTTTCGACTATACTCCGTTCACCCTTAAGCTGAGACTAGAAGCTCCGCCTTTAACGCGAGCTTTCTGCCCTTGCTAAAACAAGTGTGAACGCGCAGTCAGGCGCAACCAAAGCACTGCAGAAGCCGGCGAGCTCGTGCTGAAGGCGGAGATTCTAGTCTCAGCTTAAGGGCGAACGGAGTATACATTCCTTGCATATGACGATACGCTAGGTAAAGACGGGGCCCTGTGCCATGCTGGTGGTGGACTTCACAACGCGCGCACGCGCTTACCAAGGCGTACGATGCCGCTAACTGCCTGGACATACACCGCATTTTCATCGAAGGTACCTAGTTTTGTTTCATGTGAACTTGGAAAAACGAGTAGTGCTTACTATGATGACGTTAAGCCAGCGCATGCGGAATTTTTCAGCATTGGTGCGATTGCGCTACGAGCAGAAAGTTTCGATATGCCGTTAAGTTATAATGCAAAAAAAAAATGTGTCGCAAAAAAAAAAAAAAAAAAAAACGTATTGCGAGCAGCAAAATTTGACGAGCGGCTCTAGGAGTCACCTGTAAAACAATTGTTACGACTGTGCGAAGTATGGTAACCAATGCAAGGTTACCGTGATAATCTAAACCCTGATCGAAGGATAAATAAGATTACGCGGACAAGCGTCTCGTGGACGGCACAAACCGATGCCCCGGCAGCGGCATCTCGGCGAGCTTGCATGCCTCCTCCTACACGGCGCGGTCGCCCCCTGAGACCGCCTTGATCTCCGGACACCGTGCGGTGCCAGCCACGAGCGCTGGAACCCCCACCCGTCTGTCCGTCCGTCCGCCCGTCTCCCCCGGATGAAGCGCGACGATGGGACGACGAGCTAGCGGGAAGGTGAGACGACGCCCCTGACGCCCGACTCCTATTTCTATCTTCCCCCCCACTCTTCTCCCTTCACCCTACCCCAAGAGTCAGTGACAAATGCGCCTAGCGCGCGCACAGGATTGACCCCCCTCCCCCTAATTTCACTTCAACGTTTACAACACACGGAGGCCGCCGCCGCCGCCGCCGCCGCCGCCGCCGACCGACCGACCGACCGATCGTCGTCTCGCCAGGCTCGCGGCGCGACACTCGCCCGTATTCGGCCGGGCGCCCCGAAGGTGCGCTCGAAGCGTGGAAACGGCGCGATGCAACGAAAGGCGAAGGGCATCTACACCACGAACGGGCATAAGCCGATGCAAATACGCGCGCGAACGTAAACGGTAGAAAAGTGCCGTCGCTCGCCACTATGAAATAATCCGCGGCCGCATCCCTTTCCTGCTGCTCGTACCATCTCTTACTTGACAGCTCATCCGTCTCGCGGGACAAGCCGAGGAAACGATCGTCGGGATACGGCGAAAGGCCGTCGAGTCAACCACCAGCATGATGCTTACGGCGTTGTTGAGCAAAGTTTGTTCACTAGGCCTACGTACGACCAAACCGACAAAACACGAACATCAAAATCAAAGCACGGGCGGGTAACTTCGAGCGATTTCTGCCCCGCATAGATTTACACGCAGCGCTTTCACTCGACACCACGGTCACATGCAATTTTTTTTTTTAACCCAAGAGCCACCGTACCTGATCCATGCCGCGAACCACGCCAACGAAAAATCAACACACACTTTGTCTCACTCGCCATTTTCGTTTGCTTACCTTGTCCGGCTTTGGATTGGATGCTGGATCGGCTTTCTAGCAAAGTCTATCAACAGCTGGCTGGATGCTGGATGAGGTCTGTTATAGTCTAAACACGAAGTCCCAAATATATGGTTGTGCTACTGTGCTACTCTAAATAAAGAAGAAAAATAAAAAAAAAACGAGGACACGAAGGGATACCTGACGTTTTACGAAGTGCACTCTGGGAACTTGTTGGCCACTTAGTTTCGGTTTCGATTGAGCAGCTTCCTTTCATGATATCAGGCCGTGACCGAATGCGCCGCTTGCGTTTTCGATTATCGGACCTTTCACGAATGTACATACACACCATTGTTGAACGATACAAAACTAAGACTGGGGCAATTTTCTTGGGTCCCGAAACACCGGATATTGTGCGTGCGTGTGCAAATGTAGTAAGACGTGGCTTAGTCACCTCACCCGCGAGTGCATCTTTGAGCTCAATTTGAAAAATCCCGTCTAGTACCAGTGAACTACAACTGAAATTTGGTCACCTTGAGCCTTACACGTATTTTGTTTCCAAACGTCCGCTTCTTGTTACTTCATTGGGCAAAATGCAAGCCTCATTCTCACAGGAGTATCAAAGTTGAGCCCAGCGTTGACGCATGAACGTTTAACTGCACAAACATTACAATGATGTCTTCCTCGTGTCATCAAATATCGCCCACTCAAATTTTACGCTGATAGGTGAATAGGTTTTCGCAAACACTGAGGTCGGCTAGCTGCGACGGAGGCTCTAACAAGCGTCTCCTACTCCACGCTAAGCCTTTTTTAGCGGGCTTTTTTTACTGACGCCCAAGATCTGAGTCTGAACGGTGTGTCTGAAATTATATCGGCGTACTCAGTCAGGAAGAAAGCTAACACATAAATATTACGGCCATTAGCAACCGTCAAATGCACTTTGAATAATTTCGTTCGTTTGGCACACCGCATAGAGGGATCACGCCCGTCCGGCATACTTCCGGCGAACAGTGCGACATTCTTCACACAATTGCTCGACTTTTGCTTCCTTAAAACGGTTTCTATGTGGAAATGTGCCCATATGATTGCAGAATAATTTTATTTGCATACGCTATGTTGAGTATTAGGGGAATGCAAGCGGGTGGGGACATAGCTTCGTGCAGTGCTGCGGCTCAGTACAGATAAGAGATAAAAAGTGTGTTCGAATTGAGCTTTCAATGGCGCTTCCGAGTTTCACCTCACGTACTCAGGCGTATTAAGAAAAACAGTAGTCCCAAAAATTATGCTTCGTCTATGGACGCGCAAAACAAACTTCCTGACCAGCTGTAAATGATAATGATAATCTTTATTGGCTCAGGAGAGCTGTGGCACCGCGAAAAGGCGACAGCCCGTACCATGGAGGCCCGCGGTGCCACGTCTAGTGATGATGATTATGAGATGATATGTGCAAGGGCGGGACGACGACGTGTAGATGTATGCAAACTTATTGGTCGTTACAGCTTGTTGAGTCGTACACAAGCAAGATACCGGAGCTAAACAGCGTCGAGATTCCCAGCACTGGATCGTTCACGTGTATCTCGTGAACGATCCAGTGCTGGGAATCTCGAAACGCTAACAGAAAGGCTCGATCATGTACAAAAATACAACAAGCATGTGTGAAGACAAGCTATACGTCTCGGGCTTGTGCTATCTTCGAGGTCTGGCCATTTAGATTAGTTTAGAGACCAAAAATGATGCTCTCGGGACCAGAAAACTCGAGATCACAGCCGTTAATAGTCCACGCTCTCTGTATAATCTCTTGTCGACGTGTCGATCGAAACCGAAACCATGCTACTCTTCTCCCTGGCCAACTAGTTCCCAGAGTGTAATGCGCGCCATGTTGCATGCAGGGGTTTATGGAAGTAGTCCATAGAATCCCCTAGCAGGGGTAGCGAGAAGCAGATCTGGTTTTAATAAGCGCGTAAGGGTTAAATTTAGTAACCGTTTCTGGTTGAAAATAGGGTGCACGTGACGATCATGCAGAACGATGTAAGAAACGAATGTGCCGCCCAAACTGTGTCTTCCTCGGACAGACGTCTCGGACCCGGAGTAGTTCTCCGCGCAGCCTTTTTCGGGGGAGTACGATCTGTAGTCACTCGCAACATTTCAGTTTCGTTATTAATGTTGCCGCAAGGGAATGAAGGAATTTCGCTGTTTTTTTTTTTGTTTCGATTTATGGGTGGGCTCTCTTGCTGTGTTTGCTTTCGTTCTTATTGTCATGACCGACTGGCCCGAGCATACTGCGGCGATGACATCGTTGCAGTTAATTTCAGGAGGTCTAATAAAACGCGGTAGCAGCGAAATCAGTGACAACGATGAAGATACCAGCTTAGCTCCAGCTCGAGCGACGACGAGGCTGCTGTTCTCGGCGAAGTCTTTGCCGACTCATTCGCCTTGCCAGCGAAGAGGCCCAAGCTATGGCGTTACGTCGAAGACGTTGTGCGCGCCTATTCGGATGAAGAGCCAATACGCCTCGCAAGTGGGCTCATTTTCGTCTTCTGCGCATGAGAAAGGAAGTAGCGGTGACGTCTGAACGCCGATCCCTGAGTGGCTGATCGCGACCCCCTATCTGAGCGTCTTCTGCTCCTTTGCAATGTCGTCTGCTCGCAACGTCGTCTGCGTCTGTCTTACCTTTCCTGCGACTTTCGGAAGTGCAGGTCTTTACGAGCGAGCTCGATTTCGCCTTTCAGAGAGGCCAGACGAAATAACTCGAGCGGTACGTTGTTTTGGTCTAACAATTAGCAGACGCGCATCAAGGAGAGAAGTCGAAGGACTCACTGGCGAGGTGTCCTGAAGCGCCGAGGTTTGTTTGCTAAGAAGCGAGAGTGAGGGTGGTTAGAGTCCGCGAGTTCCCTCCCAAATACTTTTTCCCTACTTTCGTGTGCGGCGAGACTCCTCACTCTTTAACGGCGCCGGCGGGTTGGCGCGGTTGGCGCAGTTACCGTCGTCTGCTTTACGTCTGCTAGTCAAAGCGATGGCTGCTTTACCTTTCTTGCGTCTGTTGGAGGTTCACCGCTTTTTCACCGGCGAGAGTCACCGTCGCCTGGGGAAACAAGGAGATACAAGAGGAAGAAAATGACCCCTTAATCTAAAATTGAGGTCAGCGATCAAGTATAATACGGGAAGGGTTCACAAGGGTCGCGCGGGCATATTCCATTCAGCACGCCAGCCGGTCGTGGGCAGACGGTCGCCGAGTCGCGGAGTGCCAGCTAGGCCTAACTGCCGAAGCTCGCTTGGTCGCGTTTGGTGGAATCGTGGCCTTTGGAGCTTTCCCCGGGTGTTTGTGGATCCAGCGTTCATGTTCGTCGTGGTCTTTTTCAAGTACCTTTTACTTCTTTCTTGCTGCTTGAAGTCGGGACGCGTCAGAAGCGCAGGTAGAAAAATAAACGTCCGTGGGTCGTCGCGACCGCGACGCTGTCGGCTATGCTGATTTGATCGTAAGAAGTGCGTAAGACAGCTTCGGAGCTGTCGTAGGATTTCGTCGTAACCTGCACCAAACTTACGAAAATTTCGTTTCGTGAATACGAATTTGTGCTTACGTTTTGTCTTATGCACATTTTTGGCGTAAGATCGATTCGTGACTGGCCTCTGCACTTCCGAAAGTCGCAGGAAAGGTAAGACAGACGCAGACGACTTTGCGAGCAGACGACGTTGCAAAGGAGCAGACGACGCTCAGATAGGGGGGCGCGATCAACCAATCAGAGCTCGGCGTTCTGACGTCACCGCTACCCCCTGCGCAAGAAGCAGACGAACTTGCCCTCCGCATATGCCAAATACTCTGCAGATGGAACTCGCCTTCGGAGATGACAGTCGCTTTACGGCATACGTGTTTGGTATTGCTTAATAGATCCTTTGCAAAACGTACAGCGCCACGACGGAAGGGAATATGGGAACCCTCGGTACAGATCACGCGCACGCGTTTTCTCGTTGCGCCTCCGCGACTGCGCGCGCATCCCGGCAGCTACCGCCAGCAGCCGTCGCAGCCATCCGCCGAGTCGTACGTCGTTGCCGGCGTACCGTATCTGAGGCAGCGCAAAGGCATCGCGACAGATGAACTCATTTCAATACTTTATTCGTCGTAACTTACCTTCACGTACTGAAGTGTCGCCGAATTCATTTAGTTTGCACCGCAACCGTGTCAGGTTTCGACCAGATTCGACGGAGCGTTGGTGCAGCAGACGACAGAGCCGGTTCAAAGGAGTGGGATGTGAAAGGGGAAGCCGTCGGCTGCTCTGTTGCCGTGGTAACCTGCACCTGCTCGTGTATGCCACGTAACTACACCGTGGCCACGTGGTAGCGGGAGGAGGGGCGTAGCGAGGACTCCGATTATTTGTCGCGCGGCGCGCGCGGGCTTTTGGGATAATTGCAAAGGGTCTATTGCATCCTACGGCTCGTACAAAAGTACTTGTCTTCATCGGGTTTATATAACTGCAAGGAAAAATAAATAGTGACTCAACATCGGGGTCACCGTTAATCAAGTAGTAACAATCAACATTTTTGTCAAAACATTAAGTTCCGATCAGAACTTCATGCTTTCAGCAAGATAACAATGGGAACCGAAACTGTTAATAAGCAAGGGCAGACGCTGTGAACGCGGTGGCAGCGCGTGCCACTGGGGTGGATCGCTCACTGAGGCCGACCGCTCAACGACCGCTAGCGCGGAGCGCTCGGCACCTGCCTGGGGAAAGGGCTGGATCGCGCATCCCCGTTTGGTCGCTGCAGCTGCAGCGCGAGAGTAAAGCCACCGCTCGGCCATCTTGCATGTTGAAAAATCACGTTTTTGGAGCGTTGCGGAGGCTGGCGGCAGCATGCTGAAGACATGTTTTCTACTCGTTCCAGCCATTCGTTGAAGAAGCTCTTTAAAACCCTGTGTAAGCCGTGAGACTTGCCGTTGAGAACACGTGGAAATTTTTTACGGAAGCGCAGTGCCGCAGTAAAAATGCCCAACTCATCGAAAGCAAGTTTCGCCGCCACGATGCAACGCGCAGATCA